CTCCCCCCCCCCACCCCCCCCACCCCCACCCAGGGCAGAGCTGCAGAGCACACGAGTCCGCAGGGCAGTCCAGCGCCGGGGGAAGTTTCCACCCGGCTCCCCGTGCAGGACACGGACCCCCGGGGGCAGGTCCGGGCGGCTGCTCCGCGGGGATGGTAAGTGACTCTCTCGGGGGCTCCCCCGACGCCGCTGTCAGGGACTCGGGAACGGCATAGGGCGCCTCGGGGCCAGCGGTGCAACCAGGCCCCCGCTTATGTAACGGCTGGGGGGGCTGCGCGGCCCAGAGCCGCCTTCCCGCCCTTACCTCGCTGGCCGTGCCCGGGTCCCGCTCCGTGGCCATGGCTGGTCGGGAAGGGCAACAGCACCGCGCGCCGCCTCTCCCGCAAACCAGCTCCCGAGTCTGACTGGCCGATGACGCCCGCCAGGTGCGTCAGAAGGGCCGCGGCGCAGCTGGTTCTACGTCACCTTCCAATCCAGGGCAGCAGCGAGGGACTGACGAGGAGCCTGTTGGTCTGGTCACGTGACCGCACTGCCCAACCTGCCACCCGAGAGTTTGGAGGCGGTGCGCAAGACTGGGTGGTACTCCCTGAAGCCTCTGGGTGGCGCGCTCCTGTGCGTGTGCCTCACGGAGAGCTGCTTGTGTTATTTTGTGAAAATAATCCATTTGGAATTATGGTATTTTTGTCAGTTTTCCAGGGTTTTCCTTCTTATCTGGCTCTTGCAGTTCATGGCCAAGTAAACACTATAGTGGTATTTTGTAGACTATTATAATTTAGAAATGCTCCCTTATGTGGGATAGTATTATGTGTTAGGATATAGATATTCAGGCCTGTCTGTAAACACCTATACTCTAAGAATTTAAGTGTATTCTTATCACTTCACTAGTTATAGAGGTATATAAGAAAGAATCAAAATCACTGTCTGTCAGTGTAAGGGCCTTCTCTTACTGTGTCAGTCTGAGGCCCTGTGCTTAGGCTCAGGCCTTTGGCTAAGCAGCAGAGGCAGCCATAAGCTGAGAAGCAAAGGGTCACATCCTCACATTCCAAACTAGTCACATTGAAATAAGGTGCTATTGGGCTGTTAGGAATACACTCCTGTCCTGATAATGCCTATCACCTCCAGAGAAAGGGAAGCACCTAGAAGATGTAAAAGGAAACTTAGTTTGATAGCATCCTGTCAGGCAAGAACTCACTTATCAATAGACACAGCTGGGAAACCCTTATGTCTTTATAGATGTAGTTGTGAAATCTTCATTTCTGTGTTGTTCTATCATTGTAGTCCCCATTTCCCTATTGTTTGTCTGTATAATCTCTCTCTGGTTCTGTGATTGTTTGTCTGCTGTATAATTAATTTTGCTGGGTGTAAACTAATTAAGGTAGTAGGATATAATTGGTTAAATTATAGGGGGGAGGGATAGCTCAGTGGTTTGAGCATTGGCCTGCTAAACCCAGGGTTGTGAGTTCAATCCTTGAGGGGGCCATTTAGGGATCTGGGGCAAAAATTGGGGATTGGTCCTGCTTCAAGCAGGGGGTTGGACTAGATGACCTCCTGAGGTCCCTTCCAACCCTAACCTTCTATGATTCTATGATAAATAATCATGTTACAATATGTTAGGATTGGTTAGTTAAATTTCAGGAAATGATTGGTTAAGGTATAGCTAAGCAGAACTCAAGTTTTACTATATAGTCTGCAGTCAATCAGGAAGTAAAGGGGGGAAATGGGAAGAGGGAATTGGAATCATGTTTTGCTAAGGGGCAGAAATGGGAATGGGAAAATTGGAATCATGTTTTGCTAAGGGGCAGGGAATGGGAACAGGGACACAGGTAAGGCTCTGTGGTGTCAGAGCTGGGAAGGTGGATACTAAGGAAGGAAACTGGGATCATGCTTGCTGGAAGTTCACCCCAATAAACATCAAATTGTTTGCACTTTTGGACTTTGGGTATCGTTGCTCTCTGTTCATGTGAGAGGGACCAGGGAAGTAAGTGGGCAAAGGAATAAGCCCCCTAACATTATGAACCTAGGCATTTGGTGATGTGCCCTGGAGGCAAGGGTTGGTAACACGGCATAGTTGTGTGCCTCAGTTCACCACAGATACTCTCCAATTTTATTAAAGTTGCATGCCTTTTTCATTCACTCGTTTGTTATTTAACCCCAAGATTGTTACAACCATCTGAGAACACTTTATTCCCATCAATCACTGCACAAATTAATCAGGCACCTTTCTTTCCATTTTCACCATTTCTATTTATATTTGCTTGTTTGTTTCCCCAGTACTACAGCAGCGCAGTAATAATAAAACAAGGCATCTAGAGCCAGCTAATAGGCACATGCACACAACATCTAAGGCTGCTCTTACACATAGGGAGAAAGAATGAGAACTTCTTAGAGTAGGGGCAACTGAAGGCCTCTCAATTTCTTCCCTCCTTCCTATTTAAAATAATAATTTTAAAAAGTGTGTGTGTGGGGGGATACTTTACACCACCACTCCCAACCACAGAGCTTTGGCCATCAAGAAAGCAAGTCTTAGAGGGATCAATGTGGTGCTATGAGTACATCAGCAATGCAAAATTCAATTTCTTGAATGGAAGTTTGTGCCCAGTACTCCCCTTCGCATATGATATTTCTGAGCAGTCTTGAACAAAGTACTTGCCAGTTGATGTGTGTGGTGTCTTCTCTCTTAAAAAAAACTTGATGACTGAGTGGTGATAAACATTGCAGTGCCTAAAGTTCCACATCAAGTCAATACAGGACCCTCTTTGTCCTGTATTTCAGCAATAACAATGCAAAGACTCAAAAATTGATACAAGTGTATGATTTTGCACCAGCAACAAAACATTGTGAGGGCATCCCATAAACTTTTCATGCAAATGTCCTTTATGGCATGTAGTTAGAGCTATTTTGATTCCAGAATATTAGAGACAAGGTTGATGAAATAAAATCTTTTATTGGATCAACTTCTGTTGGTGAGATTTCAAGCTACATGGAGCTTTTCTTCAGGTACCTCTCCCAGATCTGAAGTAGAGCTTGGTGTGGCTTGAAAGCTTCTCTCTCTCTCTCACCAACAGAAGTGGTCCAATAAAAGATTTTACCTCATCCAATTTGTCTCTATTTCCTTTAAAAGTTAGTAGTCACTCATCTGAAGATATGTTTTGGAAAAATTACTTACTCATAGCTGCTGTTCTCTGAATGTGTTGTCTTTGCAGCCCTCCACTGCAAGCCATGTGGGTCAGATACATGACTCCATCAAGGAAACAAGGAGAATTTATCATCACCATTGTGAGAAGCATGCACAAGCACATTTTTTACTGAGGCTGTTCCATTTTTATGACAGTTGTGTGCAACTGTGTGTTTATGATCATAAGTAAAATTTCTATTTCTTCCACAAAATCTTTTAATAATCTGAAGTAATGATATAGAAGAACTGCACTAGTAGAGAGCCCATTCTCAATGTTTGTAACATGTCTGAAATATATTTCCAATGTCTGATTTACATTGAGCTAAATCAGTTAACTTGTATGAAAAATAAAAAACAAGGATAACATTTTCACTCTTAGAAGGATCTCATTGTTTAAACTTTCATCATGCTTAGCATATCAGAAAGCAATGTGCTTGTATAACATGAACATAAAATACCAACATGTAATTTACTAAAGACAGCCAGCCCCAAGTTAAATCCGATATAGCCACAGGCACTTGGTATGTCTATTGACCAGTGCAAGGATAGAACTTTAAGACAATTAAGGTGACTAATTTAGAAGCGAAGAGCTCAGTGTAAGCTCAAAAACTTGTCTCTCTTGCCAACAGAAGTTGATCCCAAAATATTACCTCACCCACCTTGTCTCTCTTGTCCTGGGACCAAACACAGCTACAACATAATTAGGAAGTTACATTAATGATTTTTGAGATTCAGCTCTACGAAGTACTAACAATAAGACGATTCTAGCCCCGATGGCCTTATCAACCTATACCATGCTTGCTCATATACTTAGATTTGACAAATTATGCCTTTCTAAAGGGAAGCACTAATGTCAAGAGACCTTTAGGGAGAAGGCCCAGTTAGCAGTCGTTTACTTTTGACTCATGTATAATGGCATAGTAGAGAGTCAAATACCTGCACGTTGCCTAGAAATCCACAAATACAGATGCCTGAGCTGATACACCCCGCTAAGATAGCCGGGGTAAGCTTACCGTAGCAACTTTGATTTGGATTTACACTACACGCTGTGAAAGTGTATTGCCAGGCTTGGGTTTGAGATGGCCTAGATATAAAATTATAGCAGGAAGTTCTTCAGAAGGGAATGAGTGGTCAGAAGACAGACATAGATACAACTAATACCTGAATAGCCTGGAATTTTTGCTATTCACTGAATGCAAACTCACGCAGCACAAGGCATATTTATAATCTTAAAGCCAGGACAGCCAACTGCATTCTCCAGCTGGTTTTAGTGTGATCTTCTGACTAGCTGCATCATACTAAAGTGATTTGAGAGGTGGCTCAAATAGCCTAAGCGCAGCAAAGTGATGGGGCACATTCTGTTGTGGGGCAGCAGAGCCTATATTAGCCTGTTTTGTGAAGAGATTCTTGATTCAGAGTAGTCAGCCAGCAACTGTGTCTTCCCAGAGACAGGCATTATGTCATAGAGAACTATGTCCCTGTGAAGCCACGGTTGTGGTTTTTTTCCACCTATGCAGTGATTTCATGATCAGTGTTGGACAGGTACCTCCTCCTCCACTAGTTTAGCTTTAACTCCTAAATTCTACATAGTTGATTCCGATCCGCTAACACATAAGATTTCTTAGAAAGACTTCACAAAAGTAAATATCTAGAATTAAGAGAGAGTGTTTATTTCTTTAGACCCCTTGTGAAGAGTTGGGAAGCCATGGGCTTTGAACTAGTCAAACATATGTAATTACAATGCTGTACATTGTTTCAATACTGAGTTACTCAAGTTTCTAAAGAAAAAAATACATGTAATAAGTGAAAGTCTATAGTCAGGACATAGACATGCAACATGAACACTTTATTAAACAAAAGTAATTTAATAAAAAGTCAAATAGGCATTTATATTACAGTAAAGGGATATGTTTTTATTAATCTTTAGACACCATAGCAGCCTACTTGGAATTGCATTTGACTGAGCTCTGTTGCTGTGAATAATACAGCTCATGCACAGATACGGATGTATGTTTTGTACATTTTTTTCAAGTATTCACTGAATACTACCAACATATATACACTCATATACATAAAGTTCCAGAAGATTTAATAGAAGATTTCCAGAAAAAAAAGTTCATTTTTGTTGGTCTTTCGGAAGAGGTCTTCTAAAGAGAAGGATGTGTGGTTCTGTGGAAATAAGATTGAACGCAAATTTCAATGTTATCCTGCAATATTTATCATTGCCAGTCCTGCACATTTGTGTACAGCAGCTTAGTACTCAATTACTACATTTAATAGACAAAACGTTAAGTCTCCCCACTGAGTGTAAGAAAAATGACCATTCCTATTAGCGCCTTCAAGCTTGCCCTTCTATATGGGGTAAAACTTTTAGAAGCACCTGAGTGACTTAGGATCTTAAGCCAATTAGGTGCTTTTAAGAAGTTTTACCCTTGGTGCCAAGAGAGGCCACTCAAAATTAAGATGGGAATTACTATAATAGTTAAGTATTTCCATGAATGCTCAAGTTTCAAATACTTGGAAATGACTGATCAGTACATTTTAGTGTGAAATTATATCTATGTGTAACTGTAATGCATAAGCATTGATCATGTTTCGGTAAGGAATTTGTATCAGTTTAACAGAAGACTATTGCTAGTACCGTAAAGTCAGTAGAGTTTGATTTTTCGCAACATTTCCATACCAAACCTTCCTATGTAGATGCAGTTTATATTGGCTTATACTAGCAAGAGCACCTTTATGCTCCATTATAAACACTACAGGTTGGCTATACAGCCAACCTTTTCTAGTAGAGAGCTGGCTTGTCGGTTTTAAACTGGCTCAAGAGTGTCTCCACAAGTGGGTACATTGATTTAACTAGACCGATTTCTAGGCAGGTCTAGTTTAAACAAGGAAGTTGAATCAATTAACAAGACCTTCAGGCCAAGTGGTGCATGCACATCCTTTAGCAGGAGAGTAAAATACAGTAAGTCATTGGAAGGAAAGGCCATGCTTGCAGAAAATTTAAATGTACCTTTGGTTGAATTTGCTTGCTGGTTCTTCCAAACAGCGAACTTGGAAGACCACTGAGATCACCTGCAGTTTGTCCACTGACAGTTAACATAACTGTCAGTCAGGTTTGTACTAGTTTTAAACACTCATGATAAGTACCAAAGTAGGGTCTGAAATTGAGTCACTTGTACTTTGATACAAAGATTATAATATTACAGTTAAGATCTTCTAATCTTTAACTTTTGTTGTTTCTGGCAAATCAGCTATAATATAGCCACTTGGACGACAGTTTTATTTTGGTTCACGAAGACCAAGTTATACAATTACCTATATCTAAGGGCTTGTCTACACTGGCAATTAACAGCGCTGCAACTTTCTTGCTCAAGGGTGTGAAAAACACCCCCCTGAGCACAGCAAGTTGCAGCGCTGTAAAGTGCCAGTGTAAACAATGCCCCAGTGCTGGGACCTACGGCTCCTCGTTGAGGTGGTTTTAAAAAAAAAAAAAAAAAAAAAGCATGCCACAACCACACAAGGCACATTAAAGCGCTGCCACGGCAGTACTTGAGCATTGCCAGTGTAGAGTAGCCCTTAGTGTCTAAGCTTTAATCTAGCACAGATAGCAACTTGTTAGTTTTCTAGTTCAGGGCTTGAAAAGTTTGACAGCTACAAACTAGACATGAGATGCCCACTAGTTAGACCCAGAGAAATCCTGCCCTGGATCTAAAAAGTAAGTGTTAGGGAAATTTGAAGCCACACCCTCCACCCCTTCCCTTTCTCCCCCCACAAAAATGACCCCAATGCTTCTCCACAGTTTTCCCAAGCAACTACAGAGTTATGACAATCTTTTGATTCCTGTAACGTTGGGTATTGCTAATAGGAGAAGATTCAGGGTGTCCTTTTAATCCCAACAAGTACCTGCATAGTCAGTTAAAAGTGCCATTATAGCAACAGAACAGTCATTCTATTTACCTGGCTCATGGATCATGTAATGGACCCAGCCAAGACTTTGCTGGACACCAAGTCTTCTCCATTCCTCTTCAGACATTAGATGGGTTTTTGGTACTTGCTTTGAAAGCTCTCTGGGTAACATCACATGTCTGTTGAACATATAATAGTACTAAAGTTATCTTACAGTACAGATCAGTTTTCTTTTTGAGAACACCTGTATTTATAGGCTATAACCCTTACTGCCTTTCCTAGAGAAATGTCTTAAGCAGGACTCAGTCTGCCAGACACCAGAAAAACTATATCCTCCAGATGGAGGATATCAGGCAACTTGGCAATATCCTGACCACCAGTGGGAAGCCCAGTGCACTTTTCCTAAGATATTGTGCCCCTCCCGACCTATTTCTGTTAGCTGCTAGAAGGATGCCCACCATCTGTTCTCAAGTTTCCTGGGAGAGAGACCAACTGTTCTACATGTTGATGTACCAATGGCAATATACGGGCTATTTAAAGATTCAATAGTTTTAATTCATGCAGATTTAAGTATTCATATTAAAACACTTTTAAGCTTAAAAAAGCGGTGGTATGCTAAATCTTGAAATCCAAGAGCTAGTACTGTAGATGTTAACCCTTCAGCCTTGTGAGGGAAGGTATTCCCTCCTTCTTCTGAAATATATTTGAGCCAGGAGAGAATGCCTGCCTAGTCAAAGCAAAGAGTGCTCCTGGCATTTGGTTATTGCCACACTGTTTAAGAGACAAAGGAAACTCCTATCTACTTGATCAGATAAGTGAATCAGGACTGGTGGTATAAGAATGTTTCCTAAAACCACTTATCACAGCCAAGTCAACCGCTGACCAACATAATCTCACCTCTGCCCTTGAATACCAAACTGTACATGCAGATCACAAACCTATCTTCAGGAGAGTAACATTTAATAAAGTCACAAAACAGAGGCACTGTAGTGTATTTCATAGGGCACTGCGGAGTCTGTTTACCTCTTCCCTCTCAGACCAGTGTATTCTGCTTCCCTATTATGCAAACTGGTCACACAGCATTGTTTCAGGCTTGAATGAACAAAACACTCAAGTGGGGTAAGCAAGAGGTCATCTATCCCATAGCCTTGCACTCAATGTCATTAACCTGCATAAGGAGTCAGCAATATACCCGGAGCAAAACTTCCCACAGAAAGCATGGCATCTTTACTACTAAGATTTGTTCAGGGTAGTGTGTGTTAATACACTTCAAGTTAACCTCCCAAGACTCCCTTGCATTGCAGAACAGCTACACCCCAAAAGGCTAAGTGCACATCTGCCCAGGCCACGTGGTCTCACTGAGCGTCTATAAAGTGACTAGAGCAGGAATTGCCTCACTCTGAACTAGCGAAAGCAGAGTCAGGTTCTGGAGGGAGCCAAAGGCGCCTCCCCTGATGTGGCCAACAGGCAGTTGCCATTGTTGTCACCCCATTCCAGAGATCAGGATTGTTTACAGGTAGTAAAACCCAGTCCCACCAATGTCTGCTCCGAGCGGGTAAGGGGACCTGCGAGCCCGCCAGTGCTCAACAATGGCCGCTAGAGTGTCCCCAGTGAATTTCGGGGACAGTGAGCTCACAGCAACTCTCCCGAGATCAACTCCAGGAAACCTGGCTTCCCTGGGAGACGGCGCCGAGCGCTCCGAGCAGCGCCCGCGACTTAGTCACTGGCTCACGAGCCCCTTCAGCGCACACAGCCCGACCGCCCCAGGCTCCCCTCTCCTCGCGCAGGGCCCATTGTTCCCCCAACCCCTGCGGAAGGAGCAGCCCTCCCCTCATTTCCCGGGGCGGACTTGGCGGCGGCTGCGCTCGAGACGGGCGGAGAGAGCCTGAGTCGGGTCCCGATATTAGAGCGCCATATTCTGACCCGAGCCCCCGGCAGCCCCAGAAGAGCCAGTGATCCCTCCCACACCCCCGGAGGGGAGCAGCGGGGCAAAGCATTTACACCCCCCACCCCAGAGAGCGCTGCGCCGCGCGCCTCCTCCCCGGACGCCCCTACGCGCGGCCGGCCGGCCAGCCAGCTCACGCCCCGCGGCACGGAAGGGGGTGGAGGACAGCGAGAAGCAACCCACGCACCGATACTCGTAGTGCTCGTCAAAGTATTTGTCGGAGTAGTAGATCTGCTTGTGGGCCATGGCGGAGGCAGCTACACCAGCAGCACCCAGCTCGCGTTCCTCAACCTGAGGCAGCGCCCGCTGATTAACTGACCCCTTCAGCTTTCCACTCAATTTGAATCCAGCAATTCAACGTTTATTGGCGGGCAGTGCCAGCCAATCACAGAGCGCGCTATCACATACGTCAGACAATTACATCACCCGTACCCTTCACTTTCTCCCGACCAACCATTTAGAGGCCGTGAGAGCGAAGGGCAAGGTATATGAGTGGGACGGTTAAAGTACGCTGCGCGCGCAGAGGTTGGGAGGGAGTTGGAGTCAGCGCGTGCGCTCGCTCAGGCCGTTTGGTCTTCTCCAGACATGCGCTTGCCTCGTGAGCTGCAGTGGGACGGTTAGGGGCGGGATGGGTTGCGGTTGCCAGCGGTTACAGAACGGGGCGGGTTCCAGCAGTTTGTAGACTTCCTTCAGCTCCATGTGCGGATGAAGCTGACAGGCTGCTGAGCTGCCCCGCTCCTCCCGACATAGGGGCCGATCCTGCTCGTCTCCTTCCCTCTGCTGAGGCGTGTCCCCCGCCGCGCCCCCCCACAGCGCTACTTACCTGCTGCAGCTAGCAGTGAGAGGCGGTCTGGCTGTGCTTATACTGTAGTGTCAGCACAGGGTTCAGACAGGCTCAAGCCTAACTCCTTCCCCTGCTCCCCAATCACACTAACCTGGAGCTGGCACCTAGGACCCTATGGGAGTCGAGGGTTGAAGCCTGAGTCAAGCCAGGAATCAGGGTTCAAGCCCTATCGTTTTACAGTGTAGACATAGCCTCATTGGACTTGTGCTCTCTCTGGGAGTACCCTAGAAGTATCCCATGGGCCGCCTGGCTTTGTCTGCTGGACAGTCAAATTTCTCCACACTGCACCATGAACAAAAGGCCAGAGTGACACATTTTGGGAGAGCACTAGGAAGTCTGGGATATGGGTGGCTGGACTTGCACCTGTTTAATGCAGTGGATAGGCTGGATCTGCAGGTGGGAATCGGTTCAACAATTCCTAACCTGGGGTTACAAATAAATGTAGCTGCTCAAGCCTTACGTTAATAAATCCCCTCTGCTAACTCAAGTTTTCCTAAATTTGCACTTAACATTGCACTGTAGACTACTCTGCTGTCTGTTCTTACCTCAGATTACAATAGTGGTGGAGACCTGGGGTACGTCTACACTGCAAAAATAGCAGTGTAGATGTCCTTGCTCAGGTTGGAGCCCGTACTCTGAAATCTACTGTCGTGGTGCGAACTCTGAAGCAGTAGGAGGACAACTGACTGGCACATAAATACTGCTGGTCTGTGGGAAGAACCCATTAGTTTTAACCCTCCCCTTCTTTCCTTAAGTAGGCAGTAGGGGTTAGTAAGTGCTCAACTACCCCAGCACACAGTGCACTGGCTGCCCAGCAATGTCCAGGGGCTGATTAATTAGGCACTTGTGTTGTCTTTCCCTGAATGGGAATACCGTGCTGTGATAGGCGAGGGATAGTCTCGAAGCTGGGGCCGGTGAAGGAGATATCCTCACGGCTAACGGTGGCTCTCGGTGAGTCAACCACCAGCGTAGAGATCCCGCATAATTTTGGCATTAAGGTTTTCCATCCAAAAACATTTTTCTGCAACCTTTTATAGGGGAGTGTGGTAGGACTCCCTAGGAGCTGTCATGAACCAAGTATTCAGTCTTCACAGATGGCAGTCAGAGGAAAATAAATTTAATCTGGATCATGGTGTGGAACTATTTGGTAAAGGAAGTAACCCCTGGAAACTGGGAGTTATTTCTGGGGTGGAGGCCTTGTCCATGTTCAGCATATTATGGGAAAGAGATAACATTGGCAAACCACAACCTAAGAAAAAGGAAAAATGAAGCGCCTTAATTTACGATCTGGCTTTAACCGGCCGAGAACTACAAAATCAAGTTGAGCAATTAAAGGAAAAAGTTCTCTGCTTAGAAAGGGAAACGGGAATGTGATATACAAGCCCAACAATGCCTTTTGGACTTAAATGCCGAAAAGGCCCAAACCACTTCCTTAACCCTCCAAGTCTCCATGTTAGAAATGCAAATTGGAGAAACATTTTAAAGGACTACTGCAGCAGAGAGGGCAGCCGAAAAGCGGGAGGTAGAACTGAAAGAGGTTCAGGCTGTGGTGAGACAGTCATTGATAGAGGTTTGGGAGAAGCTCACCTCAAAACAAAATCACATTGTATGCCAGTTTAAGATTTTTAACCTTCAAAAGGAACTCAGATTAGACAAAGGATTTTTGGGGGCACAGAAGTGCAATCCTCTAGCGGCTTTTGAAACCAAGGAGGATTGCACGGATGCGGACTCATCAGACAATGAAAGTACAATGGAGGTGGAGGAAAAGAATCAACTCCAGTGTACATATAATAACAAAAAAATGGTTAACCAGGACTATCACAGTAGTATGTATCCTAGTCTCACCACTGCCCCAGATTATTTTAGCCATGCTACTTATGATGGTTCGCCCGTAACACCTATGGCTCCAATCATCACGTTGGTGACTCGATATCCAGGATTAAATCAGGCTCCTATAGTAAAGGAAGAGAACAGGGTGTTAACACCAGAACAAACCCAAACCCTGGGAAAGCAACTAGGGAAGTGTATGCGGGAAACTGCATTAGAGTACTTACCTAGAATCTCTGTTATTCCAAGTGTAACCCACGATGATTTCATTGCATTGCTAAGGCAATGTATGTCAATGGAAGATTTTGCAAATGTCCCAGTTGATGTCATTATGAATATGCATAACAACCAAACTGAAGTATATAGGGGTGTCTTTAGAATGTTCAACCCCCAAGAGAATGTAACGGGCTTGGCATATGCAGATCAACAGCAAGATGGGGAAAAACCTGAAAGGTATTTTTTGAGAAAAAAGTTATTATTTTGGCTTGCGGGAATGGGCAGAACAATAAATGGTGTTACAACATATGATACAGCAGAGTTAAGAGGTATTTATTTGCAGGCGCTCAGACCAGGGATTAGGCTAGCCTTGAGTCCTATAAATGTACAACATGTAGGAAACCAGGAGCTGGAATCTCAGGTTAAAGAAATCTATGAGCTCCAGCAAATGTCCAATGCCCATACTATACCAACCAAAAAACACGTTTCTGCGTTTAACAATGGTACCAACCAAATTAAGGGTAATAAAGGTAATAGAATCCAAGAAAAAACAGAGTCTTATAAAAGATCAGTTTATCGACCAAGAGAGTATATGATCCAAGGGAACAAGGAAGATATTGGGGCTGCTAAGCAAGTGTTAGCTCAGCATCTCTATAAGTACAAACCCCAAGAAATGGTAGATAAACTGAACCTAGACTCTCTATTTTCCAGACTAATCAAATACAAGTAAGGGAAGCAGGCTGATAAGGATCCAATAGCCGCCTCCAAGGGTGGGTGTGTGCAAACACCCTATTGAGGGTGCTCAGGCTCCCTAAGCCCCAACGTAGTGGCCCCCTTTCAAAATGATCAATGGGGAAGGCAGACTGTGAGAATTACTTTAAAGGGGAGCTTGGGGACATTTTCCCAAAAGGTTCCGGTGGACACAGGGGCTTCCACCAGCATTTTGGATCAGACACACTTAAATGACATACAACTACCAATACATAAATTTAGGCCTTTTGTTTCATATAATGAAAAAGAGAGCCTGATTCCATTTACAAAGGACATTATGTGCATCCTAGGTTCGCTAAAACAGAAGGGGTCTTTTGGGTTACAGGATCTAGAGGAGCAGGGTATTCTTGGAATTGACATGCTGAGCAGGTTTGGAGTTATAGTCGATCTGCCCCATCAGACCTTAAGCTTGGCAGAGCTGGGAAAGGAAGGCAAAGTTATTCAGTCACACAGAGTGGCTGTGTTTAAGGCCCCTCAACCACTGAAAATGCCAGCTTGGGAACAGAAGGTGATGAATGAGGTAAACAAACACGAGAGGGTTTTCACAAAATCAAAATTAAGCTGCAGCAAAATCAATGCCTGCATTAACATCCAAGGCCCAAACCCAAAACCTGTAAGGCAGTATCGCTATTCGATGAAAGCCCAACAGGGTATATGCCCAACTATAGAAGCCCTACTCCAGCAGCGGGTGTTGGTTACCTGCAATAGCCTGTGTAACTTGCCCATATGGCCCATCAAAAAAGCCAATGGGACCGCACGGTGGACCATCAATTACCAAGGGCTAAACAAAAATACCCCTAGGATGGCACCTATGATCACATGGTATCCGGAGATAATGGTGTGTAGAGGGTGGTCACCCGCTCCGGCCTTAAAGGGCTTAAACAGCCCAGGAGAGGGCTGTGGCTGGGAGTAAGCTGTTCCCAGGCTGAATTGGGGAAGCAGGCTCAGCTGTGGCCACATCCCAATCTCAGCTGGCCCTTATAAGAGGGCAGTGAGCCAGAAGCAGAGAGAGTCTTCTCTAGCTGTGGAGGGAGATGGGCTTAGCTGCTGGGGAGTGTACCAGAGGTGAAGTAGGGCTGGGGAAGGCCAGAGAAGCTGGGAGGCTCTAGACTGGAAAAGCCTCAGATTGCAGGCCTAGCAGATGGCTGAAGATAGGTACTGGGGTTGCAGGGGGCAGCCCATGGGTAGGCAGAGGCAGCAGGTCTAAACTCACCTTGCCTGTGATGATTGGTTTATACACTGCAGTCTGCCCCAGTGTGCAGGGGCTCAATGGTGACTGACAGTATCCAAAGACTGAGGTGAGGTGGAGCTTCCCTGGGGAGGGGAGACCCAGAGACTGTGGGAATACTGCCCAGGGGGAGCACCCTGGGTAAAAGAGGCACCGGGAGAGGCAAGCGGGACGTTGGCCTGCAGAAGGTGCTCTGGAGGCTGGAATGTTAATTCTCTGGATGACCAGCAGGAGGCACCGCAGGGGTGAGTGCTACACTGTGACATAGTGGTAATTACAGTTGGGGCACAGGGGTATTTGGTGCTGGATCTCACTGATGCTTTTTTTCTCTATTTCGCTAAACCTGGTATGTCAACACAAAGTTGCCTTTACGTTTGACAACTCTCCTCTCATATTTACCAGCGTGCCATAGGGCCTGCACAATGCCCCCAGCATCTGTCACAAGCTGGTTTCAGCAATGAGGAAATCCCTGAAGAACTCTAAGCATGTTGTCAGTTACACAGATGACATTTAATAGCCACCTGATCTC